TAGAGCATGGAAGATGTGACGACGAAGTTGTCCCGAACGAAGGGCATGGATAAGCCGAGGTAGTATCGTGACGAGGTGGGCGATTCGGCACTGGGTAGTGGGCCCAGTAATACGTAGTCTGGGCGTGTTCTGTGGCACTAGAAGAGCAGAGCAGAGAGGTACGAGGACAAAAGAGCGTGCGCGGTGCTCCGAGAAGTCAGTGTGAGACATCATAACACCATCGCGGCGCCCAATTCTGGTCGGTAGTGAATGCAACTGCAGCCAGGCTTATCATGGCTGGCGGCGACGTCACTGGACCCAGATTCGCCGACGACATGAAAACTTTCGAATATGAGAGCGAGAGGAGCGACGCAAGAAGCAAAGAATGTTCCCGTGCATGAGCCACTTTGCCCGCGGCTAATCGCCAAGTGCGATGGCCAGCCCGCGGCAGCATGCGCATTACCACTCCAGCACCACAGCCTCCATCCCAACAGCGCGGCACCCTTTGCGCACAGCCCATGGAGATCTTGAGTGGCGATCTGTTATTGGGTCAGGATGCAGACGCCCTCGCCTGGCTCGCGAGGACACCCAGTGGGCAGCACGAGAATAGCTCCTCTATGCATAATCCGGCTGCGGCTTTCTCTCAACAGGCACACGACACGACGTCGCCGGCGGCGGGGTGGCCACTGGGCTTGCTAGCACAGGGCCCGGCACCGCTGCCGCTGCGCTGCGCATGGGGGCTGGCGGGCGCGAGCTTGCTTCATTCTGCCACGGCCACGGCCACGCCCCACGCCGCACGCCCCACGCCCCACGCCTCGGGCCCCTCCGCTTATGCGCTCGATATCTCCCGGCGCCAGGGACCTCGGGTGGGCTGTAGTGACTGATCTTTGGTTTCTCAATGCGTCAAGCCGTTAGAAGTATGCTAATAGGTGAAATAGCCTGCCTGAGAATTCTACACTCCCCCCTCCCCTCCCCTCCCCCACCCTCCCCCACCCTCCCTCCCGAAATTTTCCCCTCCACACAGGATCCCTACCCGCCCCCCCCCCCACTTCAAATTTTTTTTTTTTTTTTTTTTTCACCCGTTGCTAACAAGAAACACGGGTGCCTAGCTAAAGGAATTGATATCAAGGATCGAGGCCTCTGACACTCTCATATCTTCCTTCGTTACCACAGTTGTTAACGTGCAGCTGAGCACTAAGGCACTAAGTAACCCTTATTGGTGTGGACTTGATCCATTCCGCTGGTGCCCCGGGACACTTTCAGGCTTAGTTTTTGATCCTTCCCTCTTTATTGCTGTGTAAGCAGGAGGCATTGCCGTATTACCATATCGCTTGCTCATAGGCTCACTCATCAATACAAAGCCCTCGTCATTTGCTCTTCTACTCTTAGTTCCTTCTCACTCACCTTGCTCTTTACCTCGACATACTGGACTGAGGATTGCACTACGATTATTACTCAACATGCTTCCACCTATTCCGAAGCTTGAGGATTACTCCATTTCACGCCGCAATGGCTTTCTTCCAGACCAGCTTCCCCTTCGGCGTTTACCAGACCGTTATTATGAGCCCTGGGAAGATCTTATCGATAACCTGCAACCCTTAATCCTCACAAAACGCATTCGGGCGGCTGTCAACGCCTTGCCCCTATTATCTATCAATCGGTTGCGAAGCGGGCCCGAGCTCCAAAGAGCATACTCTATACTTGGATTCATCTCTCATTCATATATCTGGGGAGGTGATCACCCTGCACAGGTGAGCGTCTCTTATGTAGTACTGACTCCAATTTCGCATACTGATTCCAATTCCCTCCAGCGTCTACCTGGTTGTGTCTCCATTCCCTTCTTACGGGTTTCCGAACTCCTTGAAATTTCACCTGTGGCCTCTTATGCCGGTGTAGCTCTTTGGAATTACAGAACGTTCTTCGATTCTGAGCGAATTGATAGCCTGGAAGATTTGGCCACCTTGCAAACATTTACTGGCAGTTTGGATGAATCATGGTTCTACCTTGTCTCGGTGGCTATTGAAGCGCGTGGAGCACCGGTTGTTCCACGTATGCTGGAAGCCATAGCTGCGGCGCGTAAGGGAGACACTCTTACTGTTCGAGACTTCTTGAATTTCTTTGCCGAAACCTTAGAGGAGCTTACGGTTCTCCTCAGTCGAATGTACGAGAATTGCGATCCGCACGTATTCTATTTCAAAATTCGCCCGTTCCTTGCCGGATCGAAAAACATGGGAGAAGCAGGACTTCCGCATGGGGTATGGTACGAGGATGAAGATGGAAAAGGAATGTGGCGGCAGTATTCTGGTGGTAGCAATGCGCAGAGCTCTCTCATCCAAGCGTTTGATGTCATTCTTGGAATTGAGCATCGACCAACAGGTTTTAAAAAGCCTGGGGAAGATGCAAATCAACATGGAACTGCTCCATCACCAAAACATAACTTTATTGAGGTAGAGTGTTCTCATTCGCTATAGATCCATGCAAATCACCTCAAATGACTTCAGGATCTGTTAAGCTAACTATGGTTTATAGGAAATGCGAAGCTACATGCCTGGCCCTCATCGTCGATTCCTGGAACGGCTTGCATCGATAGCCAATATCAGGCCTTATGTCGATGCTCACCGGAATGATGAAGACCTTTGCGATGCTTATGATTCATGCCTCGCAATGCTTCGTGGTTTCCGGGATAAGCACATTCAGATTGTCACCCGATATATAATCGTCCAAGCCAAACACGCTAAGAAGAATAATGTCGATACCGCTAAAATTACCCGAAATATCTTCTCCACCCCTGACAACGTTACAACGGCAGTTCCTCTGCGAAAATCTAACCTCGCAAGTACAGACGCAACAAAGAAGGGGCTAACTGGAACTGGTGGAACTGCCCTCATTCCATTCCTCAAGCAAGCCAGGGATGAGACGGGCGAGCCTGCAATAAGTCCAATCGCTAAGCGACTGCTAGTACACAGTCCAGGAATCAAAAGCCCGGCTATATACGGCAATGCCATAACCGCGGGAATTGAGACGTTTGATAGCTCGGATACACCCGCCCCAATGGTTGGACTTGCAGGTTACTGGTTCAGTAGTAACGATTTTGGAGGGCTCTGCTCCTATTAAATGCGCTCATGCATTCTCGGAGTTTGTTTCCAATACTTCAGTGACCTAATGTCAACTTCTTAACAATACCGAGGCCGGTATAGACGCGGTACATGTATAGATTTATACGCTACTTCATTGTTTCCTTGTTTAACATTCTTCTGCTTTTGGCACTGCTTTTGGCGTTAGGACTAATCGTATTAATCGTACTTGATATTTGAAATTGCTTAGAGAGGAAAGGCTTACCGAGGATGAGTATTAAAAAATTATCCATTCCTCTTTCTGGAAGTTATGTGTTCCTTTGGGGCTTATTCTCTTTTTCTTGTTTGTAGTACCATCCTATATCCGAGGGCGGTAGTTTTTATACGGTTTCAATTTTGAATTATTATTGTGAATTGGTATCTATGTCATGAGCTAGAGACCTAGTTCGTAAGTCATGTTTTGGGAGAATTGATACTAGATTGGTTTTGTTATTTTACTAGTTTCTTTTATGTTGCATTTGTTTTCTTGCAGTTTCCATTGGTAAAATAGGGAAGCTCAAACGGATCTCGTCAGAAATATCGACATTGATATACCATTGTTCAACATGATGGTTTTATTGCATCTATATCCAATTTGCTACTTTACTTTTCTAAAAGGCAGTGGGCCTGCTAGAGAAGGGGAAGGCCTTTGTGTGTGTTGAGACAAGTTTTGAGCAATGGGATGATAGTTAAAAGGTTTCTAATACTCACTCTCTACTCCTCGAATCACCTTGATCTCTTTGGAAAATGTAACCGAACTTGATTGTTGTGTTTACAGCTTTTGCTCTAAGAACGGAATAGAGTTTCCTCAAACGAACAGGATATCTAACTCATCTAAATTACTAGCTCGTTAATCTAACCTTTCTTACCTTCTTGTAGATCTAACCTAACTGTTTATGTCCCAGCATTTGTACGTCATTAACCTCTTGACATTGACCCTGCGCACGCTATACCGCGTCATATGATAAACATTCATTCACGCTTAGACGCGCGTTCTCTGAAGTGATCAGCAGCATACGATGGTGATAATAGTGATGGTGGTGCATCAGAGAAATGTAGTAGATGGCTACAGGTGCTTGGACCAGGTAAGAGGTATATTGGCGGTTATATTTGAGCGTTATCCGCTCGTAGCCGGCTGTATCAAATCACATCTACATAGATCATATTATTTTCTTTGAATTGGGTGGTAATTTCGAGATGGCATATTTACCTGTTGAGGAAGCTACACTCCACTCAAATGTCAGAGTGTAAGCTCAATTGTTTACTAACCGCGAGAATAAGAAAGAGCTGTAATCTCCTGCAAACTCTGGTAATACTACCCAATTCCGGTAAACTAACGTACCGGAATGTCCCATTCCTGGCTGTGACCCTCACCGCCCTTCACCGTCCTCCTCCTACGCATTCTCCTCGCTATATGTTTAACTATGTATCTCCGCCTCTGAATGTAGTCATATCGCGTCTAGCAAACCTGTCATCCCTTTTTGTTGGTCCTGTGCCCCAAATTCTGCGCCCCAAATGACGTATACAATTGCTAATAGAAATGGTAATCTGAGTAATGATTTGCTAGGATTAGTTATCTTGGATGTTTATCAGACTCTATTACTGTATAGCTCACTTCGGCATCCTCCTCGAGCTCCTCCTCCACTTGGTGCCCCTCCTCCCAATAGCTCAAATTCATAAACAAAACCAGATGTGATTAGAAATATATTCTGGGAATTTTGGATAATATCTGCATCCGCCGCTAGTGATATGGTCTTGACGTAACAACTTACCCTCCACGGCATTCTCCTTTCGCAGATCAATTTAGCCGTATCAGGAGAAGCCAAAAAAAAAACAAAGGTAAGCATTTCCAACCAAACTAATTCAAGTGACAGCCACCACCAGAAAAATTAAAAAAAGGATTAGTAATGACCAGTAGGTGATTCGAACACCTAGCCTTTCGATGCCACTGAACTTTCATAAAGCTCAACTGGAGTCGAACGCGCTACCGTTGCGCCAACCAGCCAGTTTGTTAGTAGCAAATGCTTACTATACACATTTCATAGATGACGTAATATGATATCATGACATTTAACTTCATGTAATATCGTGTTGAAGTTGGAGCATCACAACTAACTTGCTGCCATACAAAGTGGCAACACATGCAAATGCTACTTTATGTTATCTAATTGTCACCTCACAAAGCGGCACAGGTGTACCCACCCCCGTTCATATACAAGTCACCGTTCCCAGTACGCCGGTTCGCTACCCCTGCGCCAAGATCGATCTTTCAGAGTTACCTCAAAATACCACAAATATCGGATTACACCTCCAGTCATATATATCCCTCAGTCACACGAACACACACAAGGCAAACGGTTCATACCACAAGGCTGCCCAATATTCCTCTATTCACAGAAATAGAAGATAACATACTCTGCTGGTATCACAAGCCTACTTTGGCATAAACATCTTCTAGAAACAATCTAGAACTCTGCCCCCTTCATGTTCATCTAACCCACAAAAAGCCGGACACCCATTTCAGCTGTGCGTTTAGCCAGCACTCATCCGCGCTATCTACATCTTGACGCCTAGGCCTCCTTCACCTGCATTCCTGCGCGCATCGCTAGTAGTATCGCGCTATCTACATCTTGACGCCTAGGCCTCCTTCACCTGCATTCCTGCGCGCATCGCTAGTAGTATCGCGCATCTTCATCTCTGTGCCTATTTCACGGTTATCTATATAATCACAATGACAATAATAACAAGGCCACAATTGCCCCGCGGTTGAGTTAAGCCGGGATAGACAGTCTTTCATGCTTCTTTAGCACATTTCGAACTCAGTTTCAGACGTGGCGATAAGCCACGTGTCTCAGTGGAGCTAATCATTCTTGACCAGCCAAGCCTCGCTTAACTTCCCCAATGTGCCTAAGTCCCGCTTGCCGTGAAACGTGCGTTGCGCCACAAGCCACCTGACTGAATCTCCACAATCTATTTTTCTGACACTGACACATGTCTTTTCATATTCACAACTGCGGGAAGAGCGGGACGGGAAAAAACCTTCCCTTGAATTCCATCCTCAAAATCATATTGACGAGTCCATTGTAACGACACTTGGTATGAAGCAGCAGCTGTATAATATCTCCGCTTTCTGTAATTTCGGAGATCTAGAACTTCTGTGCGGTAAATAACGCCTGTCAAAATCAAATGTATCGACAATGTAAATAGGAGGTAAATATAAATAATGCCAGAACTAACGGGCCAAGAAACAACAATGACTAGAAGCACGAATAGCAAAAGAAAAAAAAGATCGTAGAAGAAAATCATCGTTAGTCGTTCGTATTGTACAATGTTACGTATTGCTACCCCCTGCCTTCCAAATCTTCACGTTCATTCACTCGTTAATGCCCCGCCGCTTGAACTTTTTGCCAGGTAGAAATCTCCCATAGTTCATGTGTGCTTTCACTTCCATCACCCAATTTCCGTGTTTATAGCGTAATATCCGTATTATTTCCTTCCGTCACTTCATGTGTTAATTTCCCAATAATTCCCCAATATATCCATCACAATGACATCATTCAAAAAAGATACCAGGAACTAGAGATTACTAGTGAGAGCGATGCAATGAAATTTAATGAGGGTATAAATGATAATAAAAATCAACTATAAGTATAATGAGAAAAATATGAATAAAAAAGCAGATGTACAGTAAACGGAATCACGAACAATTGTTGTATTTGTTGTCGTCGTTCCGCACTAGGGCTATACGGGTTATGTTGATGGTATGTATATGAACCGGTGAATCCTCGAGGCTTATTGTTAGGGTTTGTTCATGTGTTGTCTAGGGATCCTGGCTGAAACGCGGACTGATGGTGCTATTGAATATGAGTATTCTGAATTCTGCTTCAATGTCTGCTAGGGTTCATGTCCTGTTGTAAAGCTATCTTGTCGACTTCAGTGAGTTCAAATGCAGTTCGGAAAGAATGGAAAGGTACGTGACACTCAAAACGTAACAGAACCAAAACAGAAAATGTCACTACATAAAAGCCAGCACCGTAATGGATGAAAAGAAAACAGCCCAGAAAAAATATGAAACTTTTACAACTATATACCCAAAACCATGCACCAAACCCAAACTATATGCAACATAAAATAAGATGAAATAAATGAATAGTAATACAAATATTTCCTTGACGGAAAAGTTCAGAAAAGAAATCTGGTAGCAGATGTAAGCCCACTTCTCGATGCTATCGATGGGCAGCAGCAGCTGATGCCTTTTCAGTAATTTGGCTGATGCTCATTGTTCTTTTTTGAGATCCAATAGTAAGTGGAGGTATAAGATGCCCCCTTATGGTGCCGTTTCCATTTTCAAGTTGCAACAGTGATCTTGTATCTTCGGTAGGCGTTTGCCAATTTTCATTATCATCCTCATCCCCATTAAAATAAAAGCTCCGGTCGTCCTCCATTTCATCGCCAGCTGATACGCTGCTGTCAAATCCAGGGAACAAGTGTGATCCCCTCCGGTTCAATTCATGTCTACCTCTGGGCGGCGTAAGATCAGGTGTGGGAACCTCGCTACTTGCTCGCCTTCGCAGACTCTGCATATCAGGCCTACTGGCGGCTGATGCTGTGGCTAAGGACCTTGCTGTTATTGTTGGGCTCCTGCCCCTATTGAAGATGTGGTCTCTTTGAAGCAACTGTCGATGAAGGACATGGGCCATTTGCTCCTGTAAAATTGCGATTTTAGACTCCAACTCCTTTCTTGCACGATGCTCACGCCTAAGCATTGATACTACCCCAGTATATTCAGCCATGCTCACCGTGTTTTGTTGCGGGGTCCTTTCACGATGATAGTCGGCCTCAGAATCTCTGTTTTGATTACGACTTGGAGTGATTGTTGACATTGACATAATGGTACTCCGTTTTGACGCAGTGGTTGGAGGGCCCGTAGACGGACCCGGGCCACCATCCAACATCTCGTACGCTCTCCTTCTGAGGTTGATAGTCTCATCTGACAAGATACTACTAGCCGAGTTATCTCCGTATGGTGTCTTTGTAGGGGTCAAAGGGCCGCCCCTCGCAAGTGACCTCCAGTCCACGGATCCCGAGGCTTTGCTTGTGCCACCATTTATACTGGATTCTGCATGAATGCTAGACTCAGAAGTATGACCATGCAGAAAAGTAGAGGTTGTGTTCATTGTATGCGAAGTATCTGGCCTCTTACTGAAAGAACTATCCTCTCTGAAGGGGGGCCCTAGTTTGGGGGATACTTGTGAAGATTTATCCGAAACTCGGCGTTCGCTTTGATCATTTTGAGATTGCATGTGTTGGTTGATGAAAGTCTGCAGTGTGGCGACTTGTCCCTCCAGCTCCCGCACTCTTGATTCCAAAGAAGCGGCTTCTGTAATTTTCATGGTCCCGTATGTGTTATACGTGTTTAGTATGCCGGAAAAACTTAAGGGACGAGGTCGGTCTGTCCCTTCAGGTGGCGGGCCTGTAGAAGGCCCACCGCCCATTTGATTGAAGGATTCCCTCTTATCTTTATCGCGGGGTCCATCACTCCAGTGTCTTTTCAAACTAGAAGGTCTTGGGTATAGTCCACCAGGAGCATTGCCACCGGTGACAATATTCGGATCCGCTCCAATTGATGTCACATCATCCCCTCGATGGAGAGTAGCTCCAGGTGCACTAGATTGGCTACTAGAAGGTCTATTGTCAACTATTGGCCAACCATTTGGTCGTACATTCTCTAAAGGATCGACACTGTCTTCATTGATTGCTTCAACCACGGTCGATCGCCTCGGTGGTGGTTTTGTTAACTTTGCTCCCCGTCGACTATGAGTACCTGATGCCGAAGCAAGAGTCAGGGCCATTGACGGTGAGGTAGTAGAGTTACTACGCGTAAGAGAATATTTTCCTCCGTTGTTGGAATAGGGGTCCTAGAATCACCATTTTTAAGCATTCATTACGAGAAAATAGCCGTATGCCCATACATACCACAGAAGTTCGCGTTTGAGTGGACCCTTCCTCCTCTCTATCTTGAGATCTCTTTAGGAACGAGTTGTTCTTCATCCTCAGGACGTTGAATGCCGCTATCTTTAGCTTCGTACTCTTCTTCTTTCCCGCATTCTGAGTGCCCGGAACTTGCGTTGCCTTGCTATCAGAGAACCCGTTCTCAATTGCTTCTTCGTGTGGAGGTGCAAGGATGTATTCTTCAGCATCATGGTACTGTTTGTGAGGGGTTAATGCTAACCGCTGGAGGGACCCTTCTGTTTCCCCGGTGGGTGAGGCCACTCGACTGTGGGTGATGTCGATAGCACTACATGGAGTATATAGTCGGCTCCGCGGAGTTTCCGCATCTTTTTCCACCTCAATTGGCTCTAGAGCTGTAGTTCTTAGCACGAGAGCAGTTGACGGAGAGGTTTGTTCCTCTGCCACAATTATCGATCCACTAGTAGCAATCTCTCGCTTTCTCGATCCAGTTTGGTTCTTGTTCCCGCCCTTAAACCACCCCATTGTTGTATTTTTCAGAGATATCATTCGATTAGAAACGTGAGATGGGCCTGCTGTGCTGGTAGTCGTAGGCATTTATCGTAGCAAGCTGCTGCTTCGTGAGGTCAATTGAAATATCGAGACCTGCTCCTAATTGCGTGTCATAAACTTCAATTGTGCACTCAGCCTAAAGTAGATTCCTCCTTGCCCCACTTCACAACCAATCACAGCGGCTTGTTCTCAGCGTAAGGTATGCGTAACTTTGTTGATGATATAATCCAATGCTGGCATAAAGTAATCCTTTCAGACTGTTTTCTCTAAAACCGAGAAGGTGGTGTCAAAGCTATTTAAAGGGAGCTATTTAAAGGGAGCTTCGTGCGGTGCACGGGCCTGATAGACACCTGTTCACTGTAGTACCGTTTGGTTGTCCGGTTGTTGGGGGTATTGCTCCGACAGAATGGGTGCTAGCTGACGGGTACCAACCCGAATTCAAACAAAACAATAACAAGCTGACGTTTCGAGGATGGAAATTAG